GGTTGATGGGAAATGTTCATCCTGGAGTTCAGTTACTAGTGGTGTACTGCAAGGATCTGTTTTGGGGCCACTGCTGTTTGTCATTTTCATAAATGACCTGAATGAGGGCGTAGAAGGATGGGTTAGTAAATTTGCAGATGACACTAAAGTCGGTGGAGTTGTGGATAGTGCAGAAGGATGTTGCAGGTTACAGAGGGACATAGATAAGCTGCAGAGCTGGGCTGAGAGGTGGCAAATGGAGTTTAATGTGGAAAAGTGTGAGGTGATTCACTTTGGAAGGAGTAACAGGAATACAGAGTACTGGGCTAATGGTAAGATTCTTGGTAGTGTAGATGAGCAGAGAGATCTCGGTGTCCATGTGCATTGATCCCTGAAAGTTGCCACCCAGGTTGATAGGGTTGTTAAGAAGGCGTACGGTTAGGTTTTATTGGTAGAAGGATTGAGTTTCGGAGCCATGAGGTCATGTTGCAGCTGTACAAAACTCTGGTGCGGCTGCACTTGGAGTATTGCATACAGTTCTGGTCGCCGCATTATAGGAAGGATGTGGAAGCATTGGAAAGGGTGCAGAGGAGATTTACCAGGATGTTGCCTGGTATGGAGGGAAAGTCTTATGAGGAAAGGCTGAGGGACTTGAGGCTGTTTTCGTTAGAGAGAAGAAGGTTAAGAGGTGACTTAATAGAGACATACAAGATGATCAGAGGATTAGATAGGGTGGACAGCGAGAGTCTTTTTCCTCGGATGGTGATGGCTAGCACGAGGGGACATAGCTTTAAATTGAGGGGTGATAGATATAGGACAGATGTCAGAGGTAGGTTCTTTACTCAGAGAGTAGTAAGGGCGTGGAATGCCCTGCCTGCAACAGTAGTAGACTCGCCAACTTTAAGGGCATTTAAACGGTCATTGGATAAACATATGGATGATAATGGAATAGCGTAGGTTAGATGGGCTTCAGATTGGTTTCACAGGTCAGCGCAACATCAAGGGCCGAAGGGCCTGTACTGCGCTGTAATGTTCTGTGTTCTATGTCCTTAACCACTGCAGTCCATGTGGCAAAGATGCACTACTGATCTTACATGGAGGATTTACAGAGATGGTGAAAGAATGGTAATGTATGTCCAAATCAATAATAACAACAGCATTGTACTTACGTAGCAGTTTTTTTAGTAAGGTTTTACTTGTATGTCATGAAACAATGTTTGAGGCCGAGCTGTATTAAGTGATACTTAGACATTGACCAAGTGTGTTCTTATAGGTTCTCTCTCTCACATTTTTTTCTGTTCTACATCTCTTTAACAGGGAAGATGGGAAAGATTTTCAGCCTGGAAACTGAAACCGCACATCAGATCAGGATTTGATGGAGTCACTCAATCTATGGTAACCTGAAAACCACAGAATTTTGTATATGGAAGGGAAAAGCCTCGTTCACAGTGCAGAGAAACAATACACGTGTTGTGTGTGTGGACAAGTCTACAGCCAATCATCTGACCTATCCAAACATAAATGGAATCACAGCAAGGAGAAACCCTGGAAATGTGGAGGGACTTTGGGAAGGGGTTCAGATTTCCAACCAAGCTGGAAACTCATCATTGCAGTTACACTGGGGAGAAGCCATTTACTTGCACCATGTGTGGGAAGGGATTCATTCAATCATTCCACCTCCCAAGACACGAGCGAGTTTATACTGGGGAGAGACCATTTACCCTGCCCTGAATGTGGGAAGGGATTCACAAATTCTTCCAACCTTCTGACGCACCAGCAAGTTCACACTGGGGAGAGACCATTCACTTCCCCTGTGTGGGGGAAGGGATTCACTCAGTCTTCCAGCCTACTTGAACACCAGCGAGCTCATACAGGAGAGAAGCCCTTCGCCTGCTCTCAGTATTTGAAGGGATTCACCGATGTATCCAACCTAATGTTACACCAGCGAGTTCACTCAAATGCAAGGCCATTCAGCTGCTTCCACTTCAGGACTTGCTTCAGGCATTTATCTGAACTCATGAGACAGCAGCTGACTCACACTGGAGGGGCACCAATTACCTGTCCTGAGTGTGGGAATGAGTTCACAGATTCATCCACCTCCTGAACACCAGTTTATTCACATTGGAGAGAGACTGTTCACCTGTTCATAAAGCAGGAAGGGATTTACTTGATTATGCATCCACTGAGACGCCTGTGAATACAGACAGAGAAGAGACCATTTAAATACTGAGACTGCAGAAAGTTATAAAATTTCTAGGAAACTGATTTTCCATCAGTGTATTTACTCTGGGAAGAGATGATCCAGGTGCTGTCATTACAGTTCTAGGTTCAAGTGATCATCTCAAGTCTGTTCAACAATGAATTGGTACTGGGGAGAGAATATAGCTGTAGCATTTAATAATGACAAATGTGTTGTCTACGTACCGGATCCATAGTTTAGGTTGAATGTGGGGGAGGGTGGTGTGTTCTAGTCTTTGCTTCTGCGAGGAGTCCTGAGATGGGTGACATCATTGGTGTACCGTTGATCTGTTTGTACATTTGACCATTAAAGACGAAGTGTGTGGTGAGGCAGAGGTCTAGTAATTTAAGTATGTTGTCCTTGCTGATGGAGCTGCTGGTCTGCATTGCTTTTCCACTAGTAAAGTGGCTTTATTCACATCAATTGACATCCCACTAGCTAAAGAAACAGCAGCCATGTTACTAGAGGAAACAGCAACACAGACCAGCAACTCCAAGAGCAAGGACAACATACTTAAATTACTAGACCTCTGCCTCAGCACACACTTGGTCTTTAATGGTCAAATATACAAACAGATCAACTACCAATGAGGTCACCCATCTCAGGACTCATCGCAGAGGCAGTCATGCAAAGACTAGAACACACTACCTTCTCCCGCATTCAACCTAAACTGTGGATCCAGTATATAAACGACACATTTGTCATTATTAAACGCAACAAATTAGAAGAGACGCACCACCTCATCAACAGCGTATTCACAGGGATTAAATTCACAAGGGAAGAAGAAACCAACAATCAATTTCCGTTTTTGGATGTTAAGGTAGAACGATTGACAAACGGGGAGTTCCAAACCTCAGTATACAGAAAAGCAACCCATACGGATCAAATACTCAACTTCCACAGCAACCACCCCAACGTCCACAAACAAAGCGGCATTAGGACGCTATTTAAATGGGCCAGGATACACTGCAACAGTCCAGAATTACGCAGGAAAGAGGAAGAACACTTATACAAGATCCTCGCTTTAAACAGATATCCCCACAACTTCATCCACAGATGCCTACAAAACAGACAACAGGAGGACACAGTATGACCTAACACACTGACCACGCTTCCCCACATCAGGAACGTATCAGAACTGACAACAAGACTCCTAAGACCACTAGGAATCATGGTGGCCCACAAGCCCACAGCCACTCTATGACAAACACTTACAAGGATTAAAGACCCCTTCCCACAACATGCAGAACCAACGTGGTTTACAAAATACCATGCAACGACTGCCACAAACATTACATCAGACAGACAGGAAGGAAACTAGCCATCAGAATACACAAACATCAGCTAGCAGCAAAACGGAATGATTAACTCTCCTTAATATTTGTACATTCAGACAATGAAGGCCATCAGTTTAACTGGGACAAAGTAATCATAGTAGCCCAAGCCAAACATAGACACACACAGGAATTCCTAGAGGCATGGTTCTCCACCCATACTTCAAATCAACAAACATATAGAATTGGACCCCATATACAAACCCATACAGATCAAAACCAGAAATGACAGTACTCACCATAACAGACCTGACAGTATAAATTCCAAGCGAAGTAGAATAACATTGCTTCATCGGAGGCTCTACTGATGATGTCACCTGGCATGGTGATGAAACATCTGAACAAAAACAAGCCAGCTCGGCGAGCAAGTCAAACTCAAAGGGGTAACTCCCCCTCCTCGCTTACTCATGCTTCTGTCACGCCTGTAGCTTCTGTATCCTAAAACATCGAGCTACCAGTCCTGCCCTTCTCCCAGCCACATTTCTGTTATGGCTAGAATATCCCAGTCCCCAGAGCCAATTCATACTCTGAGCTCATCTGCCTTACCAGTCAGACCTCGTGCTTTGAAATAAATGCACTTTAAACCAGAAGTCTTTTCCCTCCCTTTACTGTGCCCCTGGCTATCCTGAATAGTGAACTTGCTCTTGATGGCTATTGTATTTCCCCTGACTTCTTGATGGTCCCTCTCTTATTCAGAGTCCCACATGCCATGTCAAACTAGTTTAAACTAGTATATCCTGGTCATTCTTGATATTTTTACCCAGTGGTTTGAAGATTTCCTTGTCAGTAAAAAGTAATGCCTTCACCACAGTTAAAATCTGATGGGAACTGGTCTGTAACATAAGGAGCTTTCTAAAAAGGAGCACGAGAGAGAATGGTTCTCATTTCACAGCAGAATGAATGAAACAGCTCATTATCTTGTGGGTGTGGAGCAACATTTCCAAATACTCCACCACCCAGAGACCAGTGGGATGCTCCAGTGTTTTCCTCACTCTATAAAAATACTGAGAAAAGCTGTAAGAAAGGTGACTGGGTCATTGCTTTGCCTGATGCCTTAATTATCATGTTCTCCTCTCTTGTTCGCTGTCCCTTTCACAGCCCATTTCAGCTCATGACAAGTCAGTCAGTGCAGATTGTGCAACTCACCAGGTTCCACTTCCCCTTGATATTTATCAGACCACTGACAGGTTTCTCCAGAACATCCAACAAACTTAAGATTTCTGAAACAAAACCTGAAATTTCTGGAAAAAAACTCAGCAGGTCTGACAGCAAATGTGGACAGAAAGCAGAATTAACGTTTGGGTCCAGCAAGCCTTCTTCAGTTTGATGAGTCAATTGACTGTCAGATCTTAATAACTTGATTGTTTCCCATCTGTAAATCCTGTGCCCTAAAAAAGTTCATATAAAATTACACTGAACACACAGCAAAAAAAACAGGCTATTTGGCCAGAGCTGAAACTCATACTCACAGGCTTCTCTTTGTATTCCATTGATCTTACCTCAGCCTTTCCGCTTCTCTTTCTATTCCCATTTCTCACATGTAATCATCTAAGTTTATTTTGAAAGTATCTCATCTTTTTGCCTGAAACACTTCCTGAGGTGGCAGCTCCATACCCTACAAACAGTGTAGAAACACATTTCCCATTTCCTTGCTGGATTTATGAGGAACTATCGGGCGGTCGTGGTCCCTAGCTTAGAATCTTTCCCACAGATGGAAACATTGTCTCCAAGGTCCTACATGGCAGATTGGGCATAAAAATAAACCTCACAAGATCAAAGCATGAGTTACAACTTAGATCTGAAATTGATTCAATGACAGGAAGCAATGAATGATGGCTGATGAGTTATTTTTGTGACTGGATGGCTGTTTTTAGAGAGGTTTCACTTGGCTCAGTTCTGACTTCTTCATTCATGAATAATATCATTGATCTAGATGAGATGCAGGGACATGGAGTCATACAGCACGGAAACAGACCCTTCAGTCCAAACAGTCCATGCTGAACATAATCCAAAACTAAACGAGTCCCACCTGCCTGCTCCTGGCCCATATCCTTCCAACCTTTCCTATTCATGTACTTATCCAAATTGTGCCTACATCTATGACTTCCTCAGGAAGGTCATTCCACATGAACCACCCTCTGTGTAAAACAATTGCCCCTCATGTCTTTTAAAATCTCTGTTCTCACCTGAAAAAGGTGTCCCCTAGTCTTGAAATCCCCCATACTACGGAAAAGACACCAACCATTAACCCTATCTATCCTCCTCGCGATTTTATAAACTTCTTTAAGGTCAGATCTCAACCTCCTATGCTCCAGCGAAGAAGGTCCCAGCATACTCAGCCTTTCATTATAATTCAAACCTTCCATACGCAGCAACATCCTGGTAAATCTCTTTTGAAACTTCTCCAGCTTTATAATATCCTTCCTATAACTGGACACAGTGCTCTGGAACAGGCCTCTCCACTGTCCTGTACCACCTCAACAATGAATTCCCAACTCCAATACTCAAAAGGACTGGGCAATGAAGGCAGGCTTGCTAAATGCCTTTTTAACCACCCAGTCTATATGTGATGCAAACTTCAAAAAATTATGTACCTGAACCCATAGGTCCCTCTGCTCTACAACACTACCCAAGGCACGAAGTTATTTGTAGAAGTCTGTTTGTTGTACCAAAATGCAATACCTCACTTTTGTCCAGATTGAACTCCATTTGCAATTTTTCAGCCCATTGACTCATGAATAAGTTTACAGATGATACATATAAAAAATGGTTGAGTGCTTCTTATTGAAAATGAAAGTTGAAGATTACATGGGGATAACAATGGACTAGTTAGTTGAGAAAATTCATAAGAATTGGAGCAGGATTAGGCCATAATTCGTGAATGATCTGACTGCCTGTCCCTCGTCGATTAACAATCTGTTTATCTTAGCCTTAAATATGTTCAATAACTGAGCCTGCACTGCTCTCTATCCAAACATGCACAACCATTTGAGTGAAGAAATTCCTCTTCTTCTCTGTCTGAAATCAAAGACTCTATATTTAAACAGTTTCCTGTTCTAGATTCCTCCAGAAGAGGAATCATGGTCTCAGCAGCTAACCTATTAGGCCTCATCAGAGTTTTTTTTTCAATGAAATTACCACTCATTTTTCTAAACTTGATATGGAGCCAAATCTGTCCTCATATGATAATCCTCTCCTCTCTGGAATTGGTGTTCTGAACCCTCTCTGCACGGTTTTCAATGCAAATAGAGCTCTGCCTGCTACTGTGACAGTGATATGATGAATACACTGGTAATCAAGCCCTAATACCCCATTAGTCATACCACTTAGGTAAATGCATCAATGTGATCCCCAGAAACAGCCAACTAATTTCCATGTGTACTACTATCCAGAACAGAGAAGACTTTCACAGGCTTCTTTTAAAAGAAATACTTAATCAATTTATTATGAAACAAAATGAACTCTTAAAACTAGTGGCAAACACAAGTTAACAACTGATCTATAATCTGGAATAAGAACTATATCCCCATT